TCCTGTAAGAATTTTTTTTGTTTCACTACAAAAATTTTAGTAAGAAAAAACTTTTCATATTTCATGGAATATATAACTTTTAAAAATAATCTAAAGATTTTTTTCCTTAACATTTTATTACATCAGTTGATTTTTAATAATTTTTTTAATTATAAAATTCATACACACATTTTAGGTTTTTCTTATATGTGTAATATATAACTTTGGTAAAACAAAATTCATATTCATTACTACTAAAACCATGTGTAATCTTGTATTTATTAATGTAATTTAATTTTTTATTGGTTATAAAAAATAATAAATATGATTTAGTGTGTCGTAAATGACTATTTTAAAACTTAAATGTTTTAAGAAACATTTTTGCATATGTGGACACTCTAGATAAAGAGAAAAGTGTCTAATTATATAATAGATTTGTGATTATTTTGTATAGAATTGTGTTCCACCCGTGACATAATTGACAACAACAATTTTAAATTTTTTAGTTAATATATATCACTTATTAATAAAAATATATAAATTAAATTTTATAGGCTAAGGATAATTATAAGAATAATAATATAGTTTTTAAAATACAAATTGGATTTAACTAATTAGTCATAAAACTAAATCAAGATTTAAAAACAAAAAATTCTTCCAAATAGATATTTATTTTTGTTTAATTTTAATGTTAAAAATTAATATTATAATATTTGACTAATTGTTTAAAGTAAGTTTGTAAGTATTCTAATGTGTTTGGCAATCGGAATTAGTGTATCGAACTTTTGCAATTACACATGTATCCACTGCGTTTAAATCAATCAAGGCCAAAATTAGTTACTGTAATCATATTATATAACATCCCGTTATTTCACAGATTCCTAAATTAATCGAATTTTTGTATTGAATGTTCTAATTATCAAAAATAAAATTGTTGTTCTTAGCAAAAAAAAAAATTGTTTGTTTTCATTCGACATACAAAGAGAAAACTTAGCTATTTTAAAACTGGATATCCAGTTATTTTATTTTTTATATTCAGAAAGATATTTGTATAGAATTTTCTAATTACCAATATAATTGTTTGTTTTCATTAAATATAAAAATGCGAAAGTCTAATTAAATAGCCTAACAGAAACGAGCAAAACATTTTTTTTGAAATTATTGACTAAGAAATTCAGATTTCGATAATGAATGTTTATATATTAAACTATATAAAAAAATTATTATCTTTGACAATTCCTTTTTATTGTCTTTGAGAGCATCTCCAATCCATATTTTCACCTCTAAATTCTATCTTAGAAAAAAATCTTCTCCAACCCATATTTATTTAAATCTCTAAAATAGTGAAATGCTACTTTTTCTTCTATATATACAGAAAAATTACTTTAATATCTATTTTGGAGTCACATTTTTTTATTTACAAAATAGTCTTTTGAATTTCTTTTATTTATGACTGAAAAAAGAAAGAAATAGAGGATTTAGTGAATATTATGATAAGTATAAAGAAACATAGATATTCATTAAGTAGAAATAAAGTTAATATATTAAGTTATCTGTAACTTGATGAATATATATGAAGTATATAAGTAACGTGTAAAATACTATTGTTGATGGTTAAATCAAAATTTACCACGTTTTATTATTTTTATTTGATGTAATAAGATTTTATTTATGTAATAAATGTTTAATTTTAACAAATTATAATTCACTGAAGTTTCTGCAAAAGTAAAATAATTCACTGTATTTTGTAATAAAATAAAAGGAGAATATATTTTAGAATATTTTTTTTAGAAACAAAAATATAGGAATACATTGGAGTAAAACATATCTTTATTAGAAAGTCAAGAATAGAAATATACATTCGAGGTGGTTTGAGAGACATCTCTCTTTTCTCCCATATATATCCTAGCAGCCACAAACATATAAATCGGTCGATTATTCTTTTCGATGAATGCTGTCTTTCATCGCCGCCGGGTGAAAGACCCCATTTGTCTATTATGTCTTTTCATTTGGCTACTTTTCTCGGAGGCTAGAGATTTGGTAGAGCTTAGTCTTAGATTTACTATGCGGCGACTATGATTATGGATGACTTGGGATGAATTAGGAGGAATTAAATACAAAAATTGCATTTGTTTTTGTTAGTAAACACATCTTTCTATGCAAAATTATCTTTTATGAATTATATATGAAATAAAAGAATTATTAATATTTATTTTTCTTATTTTGCAAATTTTTCCTTTTTTTTAACGATA